GAACAACAAGTAGGCCTGCAGAGCGAGAGTGAAGTGCTCTAATAGGGTGATATGGTACTACAAGGTCATTAAGATAAGATGGGGCCTGATTATTTCTCTAAAATCTCCGCAAACTTTAAAAATTGTGACACAAAATCTCATCCCAGGCAGTCAAATACTGCCACGTGTAATGCAAAAATAATTTAACAAATAATGAAATGAATTACTTTCTCAAGTAACTAAGTAATGTACTCTATGTTACATGTTACTTTTAAGAAAAGTAAAAAGTAATGTGAAATATTTTACTTTTTTTAACCCCAACACACCCAGTTGAGTCCCAAGTGGGATAAATCTAGTTTTGCTCTGCGCCCACACAGCCCCACAGTTCACCCACACCTGCCCACTGTGGGGTCACACAGGCATGTTTGCTAGCACATTCTTTATGATAAGGAATCACCATAAAGGAATAAATGACTGTTGAGGAGAAGATTAAATGAGGCTGAGAGAAGGTCACTGATTCAAAACCTCAGTAAAATAGAAGTTAAATGGGTTCTTATTGATATATCAGGTCATATTCCAAGAATTTGAGGGTTTTGGTTTTTGTCTTTAAGGGTAAGTGCCTCTATTACGTAAAGAATTGAGTATTTAACAAGCAAAAGATTCTTGGTTCAAGCACAAGAGACATAAGACCTGATGGTTGTGTCAGGCCAGGTGCCTGGTGTGAAATCTCCAGCATTGTGCATTGATGCACATTGTAAACGAGGGAGTGCTTTAAGGAAGCACAGATTTTAATCAACAGTCCATACCAACTGGTGACTGTAATGCAACATGGGGCATATGTGGGTATGGAATGTGTGTACTTCTGGGCTCCATACCATTCGGTCCAGATGCCTAGTCCCCTACAGGCATTGGCATGGTACTGGGGCCCATAGTGGACTGCCCACTGTGGGACATGCAGGTCTGCCCACTCTGGCCCCAAGGGGGCATGTTTGCTGGGAAGGAAGATTTATATTCATACTGGTACAGACACAACCAAACATAGGAACAGACTGGATGTGTGTGTGTGTGTGTTGTGTGTGTGTGGTAGCAGTGTTTACAGTAGATCTCTAGTTTTCCTTCCCCAGCGACAGGCGGAGGGGGAGTGTGGGAACAGAGAGGAAGCTAAACTAAACCATGGGCACAGACATTTTTATTAATGGGGTCGTGGCCGGGCTGGAGAGAGGCTCAGAGGGTCAAGATAATAGAATAACACACACACATACACAGCCGTGTTCTCATATTTTAGTGGGGACATATAATTGACATAATGCTTTCCCTAGCTGCTTATCCTGACCCTAACCATCTAAAATGAATGGCTAACCCTAACCCTTTGCCTAAACTTAACCATTACCTAATTGTAACAACAAAACCACATTTTGAGTCTCAAAAATGCCTTCAAACTCTTGGGGATGGGCATTTTGTAGCCATAACAGCTGGTGGTCCCACAAGTACAGTGACATTCCAATGTTTGGTCCCAACAAAGATATGTAAACATGCCACACACACACACACACACACACACACACACACACACACACACACACACAGCAATAGGCAGTCTATTCCTCAATAATTTATCCACTCATCAACTAAGGTTTTTTGAGCAAGAGCATGGAAAAAAGATAATAATTGCACCACATTTGGAATTTTAGAAGGTGCACTAATACTCCATGAATAGAAAACAAGGAGAAGCACACACAGTGAGATATTTTAAGTAACACAGTTTGCCCCAAGCCCCAAATGAAAGAAAATAATACCAGAAGAATAACTCCAGCTTTTTCTCCCTAGCCAACCATAAAACATTGTGCATTAAAGGCAGCATGCATACAGCATAATCATTGTAGCTGGAGAATATTTCTAAATGTTTTGTGGTTAATCACGAATTCATGAGAAGATCAAATGAATATCATACAAAGATATAAAACATTTTTTTAAAGATTGCCCCAAGTTATTCTCGAGATATGTGTTTAATTCAGCCCACCTGACCATAACACACATGACAAAACCTTCCACTGAAATATATCAAGTCTTTTAATAATAATAATAATGGATTGCATTTATATAGCGCTTTTTGGGAACCTCAAAGCGCTTTTAGCTCTCCAGATTAAAACACTACAAAGGGATATTCTATTCTCAGTATTTCTCCTGGATGAGTTATTTAAGTTGAAATATTTTGAAAAATATTTTAAATCCGCTTTATATACAGAACAAGGAAATGTATATATATATATATATATTGAATATAAGACTGTTATACTATAATTTTTGTCACGGCCGACCGTGTGGAGAGTGTGTTTGGTGGACCCAGGTGCAGACACAGACGCTGGAGGCAAAACTTGTGCTAAGCTCAAAGCGAGCCTTTAATCAGGTCTGATACAGAAGGCAAAATAACAAACCATAAA